TTTATTTTAGCATGCTTTTGACCTTGATTTAGCATGCTTAAACTCTAGTCCAGGTGGTCTTGGTCATGTATGGCTTGCCTTGTAGAGCTATAGTGTAATTAGCTTTGCTAGTTTTGTGTTTTGAGACCCCTAACATGCCTTATTTGTGATGTTTGTGTGATATGGCATCATTTGGCATGGTATTTCAGAGCATATACTTCCATCATACACTCATATATTTCGCTCTTTAATTGTGTTTGAGAGTTGAGCCTTATGTCTCGTTTATGAGCCAATGCATGAACATCATTTTCTTGCTCTTCATGCTATCTTCGTGGTTCATTTTAGCCACTATTTTGGCCTTTCATAGCTCTGTTTTGGGCTGGTTTGGTTGTTTGTGCATTGTATTGCATGCCTCTAGTATTGTGTCCTCCGCTAGTCTCAGTGTTCTTGGCTTTTAGCATGCATTGCATGAGTTGTTAGCATGTTTTAGAATCATTTGTCATCCCATTTCAGTGTTGAAATATGTGCCATTGCATTCTATCTTTCATTTGTTGTATCACTTTGAAAGAGGTCTTAAGCCCTTTGTTGGTTTGAGCACGAAATTGAGGCGTTCATACCTAATGGTTTTAGCCTTCTCTTGAGGGTTTTTACTAACCAACGGTATGATGCTTCTTCCATGCTCAAGAAACTTGTGGCTTGGTTCGTCTTTCCAGTTAGAGAACTTCTCACTTTTGGACTTAACCAGTTAAAGGATTAATCGGTAATCTAAAACGAGTAAACAAAATGAATCAAAGTAAAACATGCCAAGATAACATGTTTGTGTTGCATTGCATGAGTTTGGATCGGACGTTAATCCAAACACGAGAAATGAGAGACGTTTCATACTTGAAGTGATGAAACGATAAAACGTGCCTCATTTCTTGGTCGCCTTCCCCCTTGATTGTGCATGATAGGGTGGAGGCCTCTTGAGTCTTGTGTGTTATTTGTGCATTCATTGACTTGTGCAAACTTGTCTTATCGGCCATCGTGCATTCCGATGCTCGGTTGGTGGCCCGAGAGCTAAATACCACATTCCTTTAAGCTTGAGAAATGATAAGAAGGGTGGTTGTACACACATAACCTGCAAATACCTTACTTTGCCCCTTTTGTACTCTGTTTGCAGCAAAATTGGAGTGTGCAGGAGCAAGTGGCCGAGCGACCAGGGCAAGTGGCCGACCGGCCAATGCAAGTGGCCTACCGGCCATTTTAAGTGGCCTACAGTCCATTTAGGTGGCCTACAGCTCTCAGGCTTAGAGGTGGTCAAGAGTTGTTCTAGTTCTTGAGCAGAAACAACCTGGAGATTGGTTCGGTGTTAAGGAATCAAGATAAATGCAAACAGAGGCAACCGGTGGCAAGGCGACAGATTTTCGGGAGGAAGTCGATCGAGCATGCATGTATCTCCTCGCCCCGAGGCCTTTTAACTGTTTTGCTTAGATGGTTGATCCATTGGTTCTGTACTTAAATAGTTAATGTGCTTAGCTAATCGATTTGTATTTGTAATAATTAGTTAACTAGAATAGTTAATTAGTTGGTTTATAATAGTTAGCTTAATTAGCGTAGCTAGTTAGCTTATTTATTCGGACCATCCGTCGAGAGGGCAAATGTTATAATAAGTGTGCGTGCGTGTGTGAATGTCTTCCAACCCCATGTCTTTCTCCCTTTCATTTATCCACTTTCGATGGTTAGATTAGGACATATTTCAATTAGCATACCTTATGCTTTACATGCGTGCATCATTCATTTGTATTGCATGCACCGGGCTCGGCGCATCATCCAAACTACATTGTATTTCAATACACTTACTTGAATACGTGTTTCAAAGCTTGTTATCGAGTGTTGCATTCATATGCCATCTTAGATAGCCGAGCCTATTTAGTTGCATTTTTGCATGTGTTGCATTAGGCATCTTAACATAGCTAGGATCATGCATTGATTTCTAACTAGTTTGCTGTTTTGGCTTAGAGTACACTGTAAGTGTTTTCGCTTTAGCATCCTTGCATGTGTGTAAGTGACCGCTATGATAGCATGCTTGCTATGAGGCTATTTGCTTAGTTGATAAACTGCATGAATGCTTGTGGATGAAGGCTTTATTGCTTGAATTGGAACAATTCATCAAAATGTGCGTTTTAAGTCCACTTTGCGGAGTGACAAAATCACGTTGTTTTAAAGCCCACTTGAGGGTGGCAAAATTCGGCTTTAGCTTACTTGCGAGTAGTACTTTCAAACCATTTTTACAAACAATCATGAGATATTTTGTTCCAAATCGAGTGATTTAGTCTATACTTGTATGATGTGCGCATCACATAGTAAGTTAGCTAATAAATCAGAATAAGAACACATGTGTTTTAAAAAACAACATATCATGTTTAGTAGAGGCCGATCCTTTGATCGGGCGAGAGGGGGTGCTCATTTCATGACCTTCCCCCCTCGTACCCAAGTTCCTGAGTCGAGGCAACTTTGGTGATGACGGACACGTGGCCTTAGGCACGAGTCAGGGTTTCCTAAATTTCCCAAAACAAAATATTTTGGTGGCAACTCTGTAATCTAGCAAAGCAGTCCATGTTTGACACTTCTTGATTCAAATCGATTTTTTAAAACGATTTGCCGGATTTGGACTCTTTGGTGATTTATCAGTCTTACATTGCACTTTGTGAGATTAGATTCAGAACTGTGACAAGAGTCCAAAATGTAGTAGCATGAACCCAATTCGCGCCCTCTCCGAAAGGAGGGCGCACAGAGGAAGTTCGGGTGGTCTACAGAAGCCTCTGCAGAAAAGAAAGGAAACATTAGAGCAACATTCAAAACAAGGAAAAGAACGCAAAAACACTAGAATGAATGACTCAAACCTGGGTAGCCACCCTTCTAAGGCATCCGTTTAGATTGGAACTCAGTCCCAACAAGAAATTCTTAATTACCACCGACTTGTAGAAAATCATCGTTATATTTTTTCGAATCAGGTAAACCAGTCACAAGATGGCAATCAACCGAATGAACATGAAGGTAGTACGTGTTGTGATCCTTGTTGTGTAAAAGTGTTTGGCAACCCAAAATGTCCTAGATGTCCACATTTAGACCCAACCGCCTGTTAAGAGCGGAGACATCGCAGACGACTTGAAACAGATTAACAGACACCTGCATAGGGATAAGTTGAACTTGGTGCAAGAATCGGCACACCAAAGGGTCGAGGGGAAACCAAACCCCTCCCTCAACAATGGCTGCGACTAGGAAGGCCACAGTACTCCTAGTGTCCATGCGCTTGGTGCCAACCTTTGCTAGCAAAAGGGTCACGTCATTAGGGATACTGTAATCTCAGCGAAACATGGCCATAGCCTCAGGAGTATCAACTAATGGTCGAAACTTCCCCATTAAACAGTCCTAATGGTACAAAGACAAAACTCAGACTAGGCATAAAATAAAACCAGACGCCGAAGACAATGGCGTAAGGGCCAAAGAGGGCGATCAAGACAAAAAAGAAAAAGAAAATAAAGAGAGAGATAAGAAAAGAAGACTCTAAAGGGAACTTACAGAGATTGCAGTGGCAAGTAGGCGGCACTGAAACGAGAACGGCAGTGGAACATTTGGACAGAGCACCGACGAGACCAACTTGGAGGAACGGAAAGGGTTTTGGACTCTCTAGAAATTTTGCAAAACAGATGAAGGGATTTGGATTGATGAATCTAGAGCATTTATTGCACCAACCGACGTGAAGGTACATAAATCACAACCATCAGCGTGGAATCGACGCACTATCTCTGTGCACTAGTACCACGCCGCCACGTGTCCCCATGAAAGGACACATGCAGGGGGTAGGTGTCAGGATCGAACCGTTACCAAGGCCGAATTGGGACAGATTTGAAACGACACGACGCGATGTTTGGAGTACAGAGTAATAGCTTCCTCCAAGGGAAACCTTAACGCGAGCTAGGGGCAAATGAAGGGGCTAAATATGAAATGGGTCGGATCCTATCCCTGGGTCGGCCCAATCCATTAGACTCAAGATCTGAGAACCAGGATAAGCAATTAGGCTAGTCAGTTCAACCCAATCACATTGTCAACAATCCACCCAAGTCCACCTGGGCCCAATCTGTGGTGAAAAGATCAGTCTAGCCATGATGTTGGACTAGGCCGAGCTGCAGGACCTGACCCTTGGATAGAACCCAAAAGGGGCTGAGCCCACACAAAGACATCATACTGGGCCAGTCCATCTCCACAAGTAATCCCATAGAGGGCCGAGTTGAGACACACAATACTGAGACGAAGGAACATACTAGAGAAATGTGGAAGCTGTGAGTATTTGCATGTACAAGTTGCCACCTCAGCTGGTCCCCTATACCTAGAATCACGGAAATAGTTAACCAAAAGAATGTGGTTAGTTATCAGCATGGCTACAATGAGTATAAGCACCTATGACAACTACCAGATGGTCCCCAACATTGGCCAGTGCTAAAAGGAAAGCTGGCAGCACCACAGCTCCATAAAACCATCTTGGGTAACAAGTAAGGAGTTATATATAAACTACATTGATTTCACATTGAAGTTAGCTGATCTAAGCTAAACCCTACTCACTGAAAATTAACTCTCTGTACTTAGAGAGCACCTGACTTCTTCTCCAATTACTCATTCCCACACCGGATGGGTCATCCGGCCAACCCCGGTCGGGCAGCTCTGATGGTGCTCCTTGTTGCAGGGCCTCAATTCTTGGATAATATAATCAAGTGCGGAGCTTCGATCCACAATCATCTAATACGGTGTTCAATACGCACAGGTATTTTGAGAAATAGGTTAAAAGTTAACTTTAACTTTTTTTAACTTTTAAAAATATATATATTAAAAAAACAAAGAAATAATGTCATAAATAAAATAAAATAAAAAGTCAAAATGGTCAAAATAGTGTTTCCCATATATTACGGACCCAAAATTTAAAATATATATACATAATATTTTTTTATTAAAAAAAGAAAAAAAAAAAACCCGTTAAAAAAGGGGCTTAAAGCGAGCGAACAACTGAAAAGGCAATTTTCCTATTGGCAGTGACAGAAGCAGCTTCGTTTGGATTGGATTACTCAGCGATGGCTGATGGAAGAAGCGTCAATTATCTCGACATTCCAGATCCCTGCGTAGAGTATTCTTTCTCTCTCTCTCTCTCTATATATATATATATATATGTGTGTGTATATAGTAGAGGCATATTCTAGGGCACTATGTATGACTGTTTCTTGTGAGATTCTATGATACTTTCTTCTTAATTTTGTGATTGCACATAAAAGGTGAGACCAGTAATTTCATCGAATCATCCTTGGTAAAAAAGGATTCGTTCGAAGAAGTTCCAAAAAAAAAAAAAACAAAAAAATTCCTGTTACCACATTCATCTTTATTTAAATTTTAAGAGTTTTCTTTGGGTATTAATTTTTTTTTCTCGTGTATGTTTTTCCCATGTATCTGAGATTGCACTGTTAGATTTGTTTAATATTTTTTGTTTTTTCTTACTGGTACATTTGTTTAATTGATTAGTAGTTTACATTCATATGCCTTGCAAATCCTATGCTTTGTAGATTTTGAAGAACCATATCATGTTCTTATATTAGTATGCTATCCACAAATACTAGATTGTTTATATATCTATGTAGTTCCATGTATGATAGTGAATTATCATCTTTAGACTAAAGTAATTAAATGGAAAGCCTTATCTTCCACATTCCATTTCATTTAGTTTGAATTTATTTTCCCCAAATTATGTTCTTTATTTATTTATTTAATTTTTTCTGGTGTTCTTTCTTTTCAGGAGAGCAATTTGATAAGAAATTGATGACGAAAAGATTTAAGATTGTAGTACTTTTAGGAATATTTCTTTCTGCAATTTCTTCATCTGCTACTCATGAGGTATCTGTATCCTGTATGATGGTTTACGATGAAGGTGGCGCTTCGGCTGTTTTAGAGTCTCCAGAGTGTCCGCAATGGCACGTCTCCACTCAATCTCAAAATCAAACTGGGAATTGCCAGTTTGCCACACTTCAAGGGCATAGGGAGTATCAAGAGGATCGCATTACTTGCAATCTTGAAATGAACATTCCCTTTCTTGGTATCCCCAATCTCCAAATGTTTCCTAGTTTTTTTCATAGTTAGGATAGGATATATATATATATATGGATGGTTTTTTTGTTGTAAGTAGTCTGGCAGGACTTTATCATAATCATAATTAAATTTAGGAATTATTTGGAATGTTTCTAAATAAGTGTACTTTTTGACTTTTTATGAAATATGGGTTAGGTTTTTGACTTTTTATGAAATATGGGTTAGGTTTGAAGTGATGTGGTAGAGATGTGATATGATTTAAATAAGATGATGTGACTTAAATAGGATAGTAACTTTTTGACTTTTTAACTTTTTTAGGTTATGACAAATAAGGCCTTATAATTTCTTATCTGCTTCATTGATCTAATAAACAATTAAGGACATTAGTTTTTTTTTTTTTTTTTTTTTTATAATCATGAAGCTCATAAAAGATTTAATAAAAGGCAATAAGGTTACTTTCTAACAATGCAATGCATATATATTGACCATATTTGTTTGATTGTGATAAAATATTTTGTACATGCCTATATGGTGAATGTTTTGATTTAAATGACTAAAGCTAATTTTTTTGTGTTTGTTTTGTTACAGGCAAAGATGGGCCCAAGGAAGTTTTTGTTGGTGTAGCCGCAGTATTTGATGGTCATGGTGGCAAGGAGGCAAGTGAGATGGCTTCAGAGAACTTCTTGGGTTACTTTTTCTTGCATGTTGTATTCAACACATACAAACAAGCATTGTCTTTCAAAGCAGAACATGATTTAGTTGTTCAAGGGCCTAACAGATACAAAGCAGGGAATGGTAGTTTAAATCTTGTAAGGTGTCTCCTCGAGTACTTTGACTATTACAGGGGTTACAAAAAAATTAAAAAAATTTCCCCAGAATTTTGAAGCTTTTATTCTCAAACATAGTTTTTGCTTTTGAATTTATTTGCATAGTCATCTTAAACTTCTCTGCTTATAATTGCATTTCAGTATTTCTATTTTATCCACATGGTGACCCTTTTTCTGAGATTTCTGTAGTTTTATTATTGCATCCACTTGAACTTTTAAATTTTATTTTTTGTTTTGTTTGTGTATTATTTATATTGTTCAAATATCGACCCGTATGACATTTTAAAATAAAAATACCACCTTTAGCATCGGTTAGTGATATCTGATTTATTTTTGTTATGTTGTCATAGTTCTGATGAAGGTCTACCTGTATCTGGTGATGAATCAATGCATGAAATTCTGCAGAAGGCTTTGTTGAGGACAATTCATGATATCGATACAAAATTTTCACTGGTAAGTATTCAGTCTTTACATTTTTCTTTCTCAAAACAAGTGTTTCTCATTAGTTTGTTGTGATCATCCTACATTCCCAGGAAGCTTTCAATAACAGATATATATCTGGATCCACTGCCACCATCGTTCTCTTGGTGGATGGTCAAATTTTAGTTGCTAGTGTTGGTGATTCAAAAGCACTCCTGTGCTCGGAGAAAATCAAGTCTGCTTTGGGGGATGAAGGTCTAATTCTTCCCGTTATTATCAAGTCCCTTTGTGGTTGGACTCACATTCACTAGGCACTGCTAGATTAAAAAAAATACACTTGTCTTGCATGTTATTAGCATATGACAACTAATCTAAATGTATACCCATAATTAGAAGTCTTATTTCAAGCCATTTGGACATAACAGGTGCTTCAATAACAGTGCTTGATGTGGAAGAACTGACAAGAGATCATCATCCAGATAGAGATGATGAGAGAGCCCGAATAGAAGCTGCTGGTGGGTTTGTACGTTTGTGGGGTGTGCCTCGTGTCAATGGTATCTTAGCTGTATCCCGATCTATTGGTGATGTGTACTTAAAAAGGTGAATTTTCGGAAGCTAAAGTTAGCTTAGTCTGCTCATCTTTTTGCTCTTCACTTTTTTATGTTTTGCTGTTAGTTCTGCTCTTTAGCCATCATCCTATGGTAATGATGAGAATTATGTAATTTTCAAATAGTTTTGGTGAGCCCATTGCCGATCTCTGATATTATCATTCTCTGTCAAACGTGTGAACTTTGCCCTGATCATTATTACATGGCTGATATAACTAGGGATGAGATGTTTTCTCACAGTTTATTTTGTTTTTAACTGTCAGATATGGTGTTAGTCCGGTGCCTGAAGTGATAGGTTGGCGGCATTTAACTGCCAATGATTGCTATTTGGTTGTTGCATCTGATGGCATCTTCGAGAGTTTGAAACCACAGAAAGTTTGTGATCTTTTATGGGATGCAAATGTCCAAGTAAATGATACGTCCAAAAGCTCATGTTCATGTTCATCCTCTTCCTCCTTGGCTGACCGCATTGTCAACAAAGCGTTCAAGAAAGGCAGTAGGGACAACTTGTCAGCTGTTGTAATTCCACTGAATTTTACTGGTTTTCCCCAAGAACCCGCTGGACAGAATTTGTGATTTTGGAAAATCAGCCATTTTAGCCTTTCAAAAGGCATCTGCAATCAGATCGATATTCTTCAAGTTTCTACTTTGACAAACAGAGCATGTTTTTCATTTGCTCTGAAACTCATTTGAGATAGGATTGATAACTTTTGAAAGTTAGAGTTTTAGAGTTTTCATGTACTATTGAGGTTTTGGAGTGTTTTTTTTTATATTTTTTATAATTGCTACATTGTGGGTAGAATACTACCATGCCATGTCTGGGACCTAGGATTTGTTCAAGGGAAAGGAAAAGAATTTTTTTTGTCAATCCATTTGAGTGTAGAATAGTGATGATGTACCCGTGAATGTCCAGTTTAACATACTTCGCATAATATTTGTAAATTTTGTAGCTCATCTCGTGCCGGTTGATAATAAAAATAAAATAAAATCCAATTCAACCAATTAGTATATTGTCATTACTGTACAATATCCTAAGTAATGCAAAGCTGAAGACTGAATGCTTCGTCATTGCTGCTTCTATTTTGCAGGTTCTTAGACAGAAGGCCAGCTGACTTCAATGGAACCACAATGGCTGACAAGTTATCCATGCTGCCTTCTTCCGAGGCAGTCTTTACTATGCATTCGGCTGATGGATAATGGCACGAAGGGAACAGCTTCAACATTTCATAACCTTTGGAATGTCCGTATGGCAAAAGATCACAGACATCTTGGACGGTAAGCTTTTCGTATATTCCATCAGATGAAACCACTAAGTAGCTGTCGTTTCTGGTTAACGGTCGCCAGTCCATTACCTCAGGCGAAGATTAGGACACCATAGCTGACCACAATTCACAAAAACATAAATTAGCAAGAATTTTTTTTATTTTTTTTTCCAAATTTATATTATATAACAGACTAAATATTCCAAACCTTTTGAATTTTACATCACCAATAGAACTTGACACAGCTAGCTGGCCATTGACACGAAGCACATAGGTCCAATCAACATGACCGCCACACGCTTCAATTCGCAATCTTTCATCAACTTGATCTGGATGATGATCTCTTGTTAGTTCCTCGGCAGAAAGCCGGGTCAACCCATTAGAAGCAGCTAATCTCATATCTTTACAGCCTATTCTTCTTCTTCTCTTGAATTCTCTCAGTAAAGTACCTGTTGCGTTGCACGAATTTAAACAAAAATTTACACAAAACATGCTTCAGATCAATATATATATATATATATATTACAGTAAGAATTCGACCTTGAACCTCATCTGGAGTGTTGAATTTCTCTGAACAAAGAAGAGCCTTTGAGTCACCAACATGTGCGGCTAAAATATGACCATCTACTAAAAGAACAACTGTGGCCGTAGATCCGGAAACAAGATTGTTTTCTGAAGCTTCCTACAAGATAATGGAAGAAACAAAACAAAAATGGGTCACATGTATTAATTAAAATACAGAATACTAGAAAGTTGAAGAACAAAGCAAAAAAGGTTGTTTTTGTAAGAAACCGTTACCTTGGAAAATGTTGTATCAATATCATGGATTGTTCTCACCAGTGCTTCTTTCAAAATTTCCATATGCATTGATTCAGTCAGAGGTAGAGCATAGCTAAGGTAAAATCAAGGCATATATGTGAGCAAGTTTGGATGTGAAAATCTGCGCTGTGTACAGTCAGTTGAAAAATATCAAACATAAATACTTGAAAAATAATATGCCACCGGATAAATTTCTTAAATTTTTTTACCTCACGTGAATCTATACAACAAATGTCGTATGTACATGAAAGAATACACACCTTTCAACAATTGAATCAAGCTGATCCGAATAATCTTCTTCCTTAAACAGAGAGCTTCCATTGTAGTTTTTCTTAATGCTGTGTTTGGTTGGAGGATTTGGGGAGGGATTTGGAAAGGGAAATGGAAAAGGTGTGTGAAACTAGGTGAAATGTAGGTATATTTTATTTACATTTCACCTAACTTTTCTTTTTCTAAATCTCTTCTCAAATCCTCAAACCAAACACAGCGTAAATGTAAGTGAAAATGAAGCCTCATGACGAATAAAATTTGTGTGTAGCAAGAAGTAATCCGACAGGAGCTTTGATGCCATTTCACCTGCTTCAGCTCCGGCATGACCATCAAAGACTGCAACCATGCCAATTCTAACTTCCTTCACTCCATTTTTACCTTCATCATCGTTAAATGCCAAACTCATCGGAAGATGATTTTCTTCTACACTTTTTTTTTATCTAACCATCATATCGCAATTTATCCAAAAATCATAGCTAGTGATGTTAAATTGTGGTTGGATGAAGAAAGTGTTAAAAAGAGGATTCGGATCTCACAAAAATCAGTCATGACTCTTTTAAATACTTAAGACAAGAAAAGTAAATTTACAATAATTTTCCACGAGCACACACATCTCACAAGTTTTAGCACATCAAGTTTTGTACAAACTCAATAATATGTTTGACGTGGTATTCTCAAATTAATAATAACAGTAATTACCGTATGTGCAGAGGTGATTTGACTCACGTTATTTGATTAGGTGGGTATAAAGTCGGTCACATCTATTATCTATTATGGAATTAGTTAAGACTAAGGTGTTCTAAAACAAACTATTGAATAATTTTTTCTCTTTACTTACACTCTTGCTTTTAATTTGTACATTGGCTGCAAGAATTTAAATATATCTCTAATATGGCTATAAACAGACTCAATAAACTACACCAAATAAAAAGTAAAAAAGTTGAAAGAAATTTAGAGATTACCATAAAATAGAATTGGAATATGGAGATCGCAGAAAACATGATCCTCTTGGTACTTTCTTCGTCCCTGAAGTCTAGCAGACTCACAGTTCATGTTGTGATGGCTCCTCCGGACGACGGCGACATTGAGGAGACTCAAGAACTGCAGGCGCCCCACCTTCATTGTAAACCATCATGCATGACACAGTTTTCCAGTTTCAGTTTCTCCATTAATGGTGCATGAATTTACGTAAACAAACAATCCCAACAAGATTATTAACACAACTTCTAGTCGTTGTCTTTCCATTTAATTAACTTGTTTTTTATTATAGCATTAAAATTTCACCTCTGCAAAGCCGCTCAAAGAAACATTTATAGAGAGAGAATTTGAAAGTCGAGAAGAAATCACAAAAGTTGTGAGGAAAAAATACTTGTAATGTCACCCAAGTTGTATGGGAAACAAGACTTATGCTAACCCACGTCAAAAGAATAGCAAACCATTGTGTTTATAGATTATATATTTATGAGAAATCACATGTCACTGGTCTCTCTCAAAATTATTATTTATTATAAATATAAGAAAAGTTTATGACTTTGCTTTTTAATATTTATAAAGTTTATTATTAATTTAAAAATTATTTTTTTATATATCAAACGGATCTACTATTTCTTTTTGGACTAGATAGGTTTTGTAAATCTAATATTTTTGGACTAGATTTTGTAAATCTAAGTACTTGAGTAAAAATCCGACTTCTAGTTATAGCGTTATTTGTGTTTGTTACATCAACTCTTTGATTCATATTTGAATACCAAAATTAATTAGATTAATTCATATTTTATTACTAGTATATATAGCGTTACAGATATTTAGTCTAACATTCTTATCTAACTTTTATTAATAAAATCCACAATATATATTTTTTTATAATCTAAAGTCCCTCGTCCCTTTATTATGAGCTCTCACTCACGCGTTTATATCATACCAACTCTCTCATTCTGTCTCTCCATTTTCTTCAAAGGATCTTGACAATGATACAACCAGGAACGACCTTGGTCCCTCCACAAATGGCGCCTCCAACTGTCCCTTACCAACAGAACCACTTCCGATACCGCATATAGCTGCTGTTGATTGTCAACATACACGACCCCAATTAGGTTTGATCCCTTCACAGGTGAGCCTTACAAATTTGATCGATTCACAAGCGAGCCAATTCTTCCTGAGAGCTTACATCGCCATTTTGGAAGCCCATATTGATTCCCAACATACTTATCGGTTATGGCAGTGGAGGACCTTTGCTTCTCAACTTTTAATGAGGTAATGGTTTGTGGTTCCCATGTCTCGGCTTTTAACAGCTCCGCAGACATGGTTACTTGGAGTTGCCAAGTATGTGTTTGGTTCCATATTGCAACATATATTTTTTCTGTTACAATGATCGGATACTGTTTGTACAAAAATTTTAGAGAGAGAAGATATGAATATATAGATATACAGAGACCGACGATGTTGTGTCGTCTTTTTGATCAATTTTTTTTGATTGAGTTAAAACACAATTTTCTTTAGTTTGATCAAAGCATAGAGAAAATTGTATACCAATCAGAAAAAAAAATTGATCAAAACACGATGAAAATTGTGAGGAAATTAGAGAAATTTGTAAGTAAATCAGAGAAATTTCAAAACACAAAGAAAATTTGAAAACATAGAAAAAATCAGCGAAATTGAGTAAATCATAGAAATTTCAAAACACAAAAATTGTTTGAAATTTCTTTGAATTGAAATTTTTCTGAAAAAATATTGAAAGACCCCAACTACTATGAAAACGTTACATATCTTTTATCTTATAAAATCTTAATACCAAAGACCTTGAAAAAAATTCCGCCTAATAAAAAGAAATACAATTGTTTGGTTCTAATTTTCTGAATTCAATTTTTTGAAAATTAAGTTTTTTATTTTTTGTGCTTTTGATTTTATTAAAATTTTTAAATATATTTTGGCTCAACTCATATTCACTAGCTACATGTAGCTAGCCTTCAACGCTAGGCAAAATGTATTCAATCATTAGGATCATTTCCCTCCATCTTTGTTGTTGACGTGGCATTCTATAAAATTAATAGTATTTGGATAAATAGCTAAAATAAAGAGCATGGTCGGAATAAAAACATAAAGCAGTCGATAGGCAAAATAAAATATATACTTTATAGTAATATTTAGATAGGTAAAATGCCTACTACCGTTGGAGATGCTCTTAGTCTAACATTCTTATCTAACTTTTAATAATGAAATCCACAATGTTTTTTTTTTAATAATCTAAAGTCCCTCATCCCTTTATTATGAGATCTCACTCACGCGTTTATATCATACCAACTCTCTCATTCTGTCTCTCCATTTTCTTCAAAGTAAGGATCTTGACAATGATACAACCAGGAACGACCTTGGTCCCTCCACAAATGGCGCCTCCAACTGTCCCTTACCAACAGAACCACTTCCAATACCGCATATAGCTGCTGTTGATTGTCAACATACACGACCCCAATTAGGTTTGATCCCTTCACAGGTGAGCCTTACAAGCCAATTCTTCCTGAGAGCTTACCTCGCCATTTTGGAAGCCCATATTGATTCCCAACATACTTATCGGTTATGGTAGTGGAGGACCTTTGCTTCTCAACTTTTAATGAGGTAATGGTTTGTGGTTCCCATGTCTCGGCTTTTAACAGCTCCGCAGACATGGTTACTTGGAGTTGCCAAGTATGTGTTTGGTTCCATATTGCAACATATATTTTTTCTGTTACAATGATCGGATACTGTTTGTACAAAAATTTTAGAGAGAGAAGATATGAATATATAGATATACAGAGACCGACGATGTTGTGTCGTCTTTTTGATCAATTTTTTTTGATTGAGTTAAAACACAATTTTCTTTAGTTTGATCAAAGCATAGAGAAAATTGTATACCAATCAGAAAAAAAAATTGATCAAAACACGATGAAAATTGTGAGGAAATTAGAGAAATTTGTGAGCAAATCAGAGAAATTTCAAAACACAAAGAAAATTTGAAAACATAGAAAAAATTAGAGAAATTGAGTAAATCAGAGAAATTTCAAAACACAAAAATTGTTTGAAATTTCTCTGAATTGAAATTTTTCTGGAAAAATATTGAAAGACCCCAACTACTATGAAAACGTTACATATCATTTATCTTATAAAATCTTAATACCAAAGACCTTGAAAAAAATTCCCCCTAATAAAAAGAAATACAATTGTTTGGTTCTAATTTTCTGAATTCAATTTTTTGAAAATTAAGTTTTTTATTTTTTGTGCTTTTGATTTTATTAAAATTTTTAAATATTTTAAGCAAATTTTTTACGCACCTAACTTAGACATAACCTAAAAAGTAAAATATTTTAAAAAATCAATAAATACACGAGAATATGAAAATGCATTGAATTTTCATATTTTTTTCTATATTTTTTATATTTAGAAAATTCACAAATATTAGTATGTTTTTTAATTATATTTATATTAAACGTATTTAAAAAATAAAAAAATTTATTCAAAATATTAAAAAATACAAAAAAATTAATTTTAGAAAAATTCAATTTAAAAAATTAGAACCAAACAAATAAGCATACTAAATTTTTTGCGCGGTATTTTTGGCCTACTATGTTCCTCGTGTGGGAGTATGTTATTTTAGTAATTTTTTGATTTTTTAGTTAAAATACGAGATAAAAAAAAACTAATATGTTTAAAATGATTTTTTATGAAAAGATATGCAAAAAATAGAGAGATTAGGAAATCTTTGACTTTTTTATATAGGTTATAGACTTTTTGATTTTTTTAGTAATTTTTTGACTTTTAAACTAAAACTCTCTCGTGCCAAACGAGGGCTATACACCAATGGAAGCCATCCGATTAAGCGTGTAACATGATCTTCGAACACGATAGAGAGAGAGAGAGAGAGACGATCGGGGGTTTAGTTGTACAATAATGCTTGATAACTCAAATTTTCATGATTTGAATAGCACGAATGTCTCAAAACGACTAACACTACGTCGCTTTGATACATTTGAGGGCCAATGCATGACGTGAAACCCTAGCCATTGATCCATCCCAGTGCATAATTCAAAACCTGTTTGGCTTCAACGAGTATCCGTTTGGAGTGAAATCAAATAGATTTTGTTTACTACTTGTAGACGTCCCCGAACGCCCCGGGAGGAACGAGCTCCCGTTCTGTTCATTTGGGGTCACTACAGCTCAGGACTCTCAAATTTGTCACGGTTCTAAGTCTGAACCAAAGAGTCCAAATCCGGCAAATCGTTTTGAGAAAACAGATTTTGAAAGAAATGCCAAACATGGACTGCTTTTCCAGATACAGAGTCGCCACCTAAATATTTTAAAATGGGAGAATTTAGGAAACCCTGACCGTGCCAAAGGCCACGTGTCCGTCATCACCAAAGTGTCTAGCTCGGGAACTTGGGTACATTGGGGAAGGTCACTTCGTGGAGCACCCCCGCTCGCCCAATCAAGATCGGCCTCTACTAACCATGATATCTATTTTTGAAAACTTTGTGTATCCTTATTCGGTTATTAGCCTAGGTTACTATGTGATGCACACAGCATATAAGTATAGACTGGGTCGCCCGAATTGGAACAAAACATTTTATGTTTATTTTTTAAAGGATGGTTTGCTACCGCAAGTAGGCCTAAAATGCAGGTTTTGCCACCCTCGGGTGGGCTTAGAAAAGATGGTTTTGCCACTATCTAGTGGGCTTAAAACATACAGTCAATGATTTGTTCCAATCCAAATAACCCAACCTTCACCCACAGGCATTCAGGCAGTTATATCACATAAGCATTTGGCCTCATGGCAAGCATGCTATCATGGCAGTCACTCGCACGCATGCAAGGATGCTAAAGCATAAAACTCACCAAGTACTCCAAGCCAAAACAAAGACTACATTAGAAATCATGCATGATCCTTAAGTATACAGAGATGCCTAATGTAACACAGGCAAAAATGCAAACTATAGCAGGCTCGGCTATTCTAAACATGGCATATGGGATGCTACAGCTAACATGTATTCAATCTTAGAATTGAAAATACAATGCAGTTAGTATGATGTGCCGAGCCCGGTGCATGCAAAACAGATGAATGATGCAAACATGCTGTCATACTGTATGCTAATTGAAATATGCCCTAATCTAAACATCAAAAGCGGATAAATAAAAGGGAGAAAGACGTGGGGTTGGAAGACATACATCACACACACGCACACTTATTACAGTTGTGCCCTCGCACCGAGGGTCCGAATAAATAGTACAGTCCCGAATAAAAGAATATTACAGTCCAAATAATACAGTCCAAATAATATACAAATTACTAATTAATTAATCAAATTAACTAAGAAAGCTGTAAAACTGGCGTGCAAGCCAGGGACTGCCTTGCTCCTGATGAATGATGCATGTCTGGGCTGCCTTGCGCAGAAATCCACTGGGATGCCCCAATTAGTTTCCTTGAAATGCACGCCAAACTCCAAAAAGTTGCTGATTCTTCATTTTGCTGCAACAGAGAGCAGGAAAGGGGCATGGCAATGTATTTTCACAGATATATGCATGCCTCGATCCTCGTGTCACCAATCACGCATATCGAGGCATGATGGCCGAGGAGTCGAATTGCACAATTTAATACGGGATGAATGCACATGAAAACACAACAAGACCTACTCCATCATGGATGATCCGGAGTGTCGGTGACTGGGGAATTGAGATACGTTCCGTCACTCGGAGTACGGAACATACCTCGTTTCCCGTGCCCGAGCTAACTCTTATCCCGAACGCAATGCAATATGCATGACATGCATGAATGTAACTAAGATACAGCCTAGTATGCACTATACTGTGAAAATGAGATG